AAAGTATGCTTTCTTATTGTTTTCTGTCAGATCAAAACTGCACCTCATACAAAAACAAAATCTTTCTAACACAAAACATGAAAAAAGGTAATTGTAACCTGTGGTCTTACTGAAGTCAAACACGGAGTTGGTGATCACGGAAGATAATGAAAACATATTTCAATAGGAAAAAAAAAATATTTGGTGAAAAAAGCAGATTTAATATAAAAAAAACAGAAAAAAACCCATTTATTTGTGATATAATCAAAAACAAAAGAGACCTCAGTTTGAAAAAAAACTAGTGGAATCGTAGGTTTACAGGTGGAAGAAAGTGTTCCCATAAAAGATCTAGTGGAATCGTAGGTTTACAGGTGGAAGAAAGAGTTCCCATAAAAAAGATCTAGTGGGATTGTAGGTTTACAGGTGGAAGAAAGTGTTCCCATAAAAAAGATCTAAAGGAATCGTAGGTTTACAGGTGGAAGAAAGTGTTCCCATAAAAAAGATCTAGTGGAATCGTAGGTTTACAGGTGGAAGAAAGTGTTCCCATAAAAAAGATCGAGTGGAATCGTAGGTTTACAGGTGGAAGATGGTGTCCCCATAAAAAAGATCTAGTGGAATTGTAGGTTTACAGGTGGAAGAAAGAGTTCCCATAAAAAAGATCTAGTGGGATTGTAGGTTTACAGGTGGAAGAAAGTGTTCCCATAAAAAAGACATTGCAGTTGCAAAACTGCAGGTAATATAAACGTATTTACGTGCAATAAATGTTTGAATTTGAAGTAGATTTAGATTTGTTTCATTTTTGTGAAATCCTAACATCAAAAAACATTAATAATAAGGTATTTAGTTATGATTTAACAATAATCAAGGATAATATGATATACAAAATATTTATGAAAAAAATCAAGTTGTATCACAGAATTAAAATTCCACTCAAGGTAAAGATAGTCTGAAGTTGAAAATGTTCATATTGTTGTATCATTTCTCTTGAAAATAGTATTTAAATTTGAAAATAATTGGAGAGATAACATGCACAATTTTGTATTGTGGAGATTTAAAAAATCCATAAAAAATGGGTTTTTTTGCAGAATTTTGTGATGAATGGGCAATTCTTAGATGCTGACTTGTTAATATTTTATATTTTATAAGTGATCATGAATGGTACGAGTTCCAGAATTTGAAATGCCGCACCACAAGACCGCATGCAGCAAGGGTGGGCCAGGAAGCGAATAAACGTCATGTAGGTTCGCGATCCTACGTGTATGTTTAGTATGTAGATGGGCATATGGTAGTATTATAAGGCAAAGCGGAGAGAAGAGTCGAGACTTGGATTTTGTTGTATAAAGTTATTACACGAGTCTTCAAGCTCATAGAATATTGATTACTCTGGAAGGAGGGTTGGCTGAAACCGTCGCGCAGTATATACCCACTGTAGGAAGGAGAGGTACAACTTCATAGGAAGCTTATTGTATGCTGAGTGAATGTCTGCAGACTGATGTGTCGGAAAGTCTCGTACACAGTATCTCGTACCACTGCTGTATATGCCTGTACGTAGACATTATACTGCAGGTTAGGACGAGACAATGCCGTCGTACTACGCAACAGTGTCTGTCTGTTAGTCTCGTGGCAACTAGTCTACTCATCATTGTTAGCAAAACTCTTGACCAGTCAGTGTCACCTAGGAACTATGCATCAGTGTTAACTGAGCTCTTGACCAGCCAACACATCTGTGTCATCCACGCTCTTGACCATTGTTAAGCTTCTAGAAACTACACAACAGGATATTGCTATTATTTTGTTAGTGGGATGCTCTGTACAACCACAACCAGCAGGTATTTAGTGTTTTTCATCAGCCATTTGTCAAACAGACAGAACTTCAGATAAATACTTCAGGATTACAAATTCCAGCAACATTTCTCTGGTTTTCATCAAAAAAGTAATTATTTTTTCTGATTATCGAAGATTCAAAATCAAGATTATGCAGGATGCTGCTGAAATGCTTCCACAATGCTGTTTAAATATACCTAAAATTATTTTGGCATTATAATTATCATGTTTCTCATCAGGTTATTGTTGTCATTGAGTCACCATTTTAAAGCATCACTATTGTTTCTTTAACACCTACAATGTACATTGAGTTTCATTGATTGCATGTCTACTCCAGTTTTGATGTAGATTCAAGTGAAATGACGTTAAGTCGGCTGGAAAATTCTATGTAAATGGTTGATGCGAGATTTTGTATAGACTATTTTTGACTTGAATTCTGTTAATTGAATTTGTTGTACTAGAATTTGTTAGACACTTAATGAGATGTGCATTCTAGATTCTTGCATTGCATGCACTTTTTGTTGGCGTAACTTCTCCAGAAATATAACTGTGGAAAAAATAGCCTCGTAATGGGAGTTGTCTTCGTTGCAATATTATAGATTTTTGTGTCCTAGTCATCTAAAGTGCTTCTGCAAGCATTCATAAAAAAGTCTGGAGAAAATTAGGAAATTATAATATATTTCTCCAGGTCTTCAGCATATACATATGTTTAGTGGATTTAGAGAAATGCAAGTTATTGTGTTTGCTTCGAGGTTCCACTGTATATGCCATGTCTAATTATCTTCTAATGGTAATCATAATTATTCAGTTCAAATCATTCAAGTCTCGTTATCGTGTCCTGTCCAGAGACCTTAATGGATATCGTTTGTATTTACTGTACTGTGATTATATTATGAAGGTTATGTCTGCATTAGAGAAGGGCACTAACGAACTTATAATAATTTCATCTTTAACAATGATTTAAAATGATTTAAATATGCAAATGCAAGATTAAACCACCAAAGAGAAAAATAAGATATATAGTTATTATGACATTGATTAAATTTTGATAAAAATCCAATGAACATTTTTTCTCTCAACTCATTCACCCCTGAAATTTTATAATGAACTATTCCAACCTTTGAATTGGAAGAGTTCAAATGTGTCTTCAGGGATGAATGCGGTAATTCTTTTTAAGTTCAATCATTTGTTTCAATATTTGACCTTTGCTCTCCTATTGTTAAAAAGTTGACCTTTGCCATCCAATCAATATTTTCATCAGTTCGCCATCCTATTAAGTACAACATTTTATCACTATCTTGATCATAAACCACCCAGCTTATATGATATATTAGTCTGGGGATATATATTGATATATATTAGTCTGGGGATATATATTGATATATATTAGTCTGGGGAAACATCCTTAAATGACCTTAGCTGTTGATAACACATTCTACAAAATGAAACCAAACCAAAACCAAAATCGGGAGAAACTAAAGAGGTATATTCCGTCTTTGCGTATTGCAGATTTATCTTCTCTTGTGAGCAGGTATTGATTGTTACGTCATTGGTTTGTGTGCGAAAATGACGTCGTTTTCTCAAAAATTGATGATGTTACTCTCAAAAACAAATGACGTAACAATCAATACCTTCTCACAAGTGCAGATAATCTGCAATATGAAAAGACGGAATAGGACTAGTATACTGAAGTGACCAAACCACAGTATGTCCTTTGTCACTGTATTCTTATTAGAGGTATGACTGCCACGCCCCAATGTTAGATTGGCGTTGGCAGTCATTTCCAGAAATACTGAGTCCAACCAAATTTGATCGAGTAGAGGGCTCCAATTTAAATTACTGAACGTTTATAAACTCCAGTCGGACATAAAAAAAATAAAATAATTGAGTGACTGGGTACCTGAGCATGTCCATGTCGTGTGCGTGTTGTGTGGGAACCAAGTTGTACACTAAGGATCTGACCGATTCTGTTGCGATGTGTAACTCGTCAGAGGTGCCGAGTGAGGTGCAGCCCTTTATATAGGATCAATGTCGCACCCTCAGTTATTCCTATATCCAGTCAGATATTACTTTAAATGATATAAGGCTTTACCGATATAAAGTTGGTGCTAGTGAAAAACTTCATGCTAATGGAAATGTCTATGCTAATTGATCATCATCTTTGCAAAAATAGAAATTGAAGCTATGCCAATGTAAGTTTAACCAGAGAAAAGTGCATGCTAATATAACTGTCGAGGCTATTCTAAGTGTTAAAAAGTCTTGACAAGTCTAGGCTATAAATATAAAGGTCTATCGCCAATAATTAAAGGCAGCTTTATATTCGTTTGGGAAAATGATTATAACCAAAACAATTTACTGTCTTGTGTGTTTTCTTGGATCAAAATTTGCATAATGGCACAAATACAAGAAACAAGAAAAAAAGGGGCGGGGACAGATTTGTGTAGACTGATATACTCCTGGAAGAGAGAAGTATGACAATTGCCCTGGGACCATCTACGGGTTGGATTCAGCCGTCCGGGGCATATGTACAGAAATGGTATAAACATTCGGGAATAATTCATTCTACTTTGTCTAGCGCATTACTGTTCAGCTGGCCGCAGAGAAGTCGGGGATATGCAAGTATTCCAAGGATCAATACGATTTGGTGTCGACTGTCTTGTAAAGAATCATACGTTTTCTGAACATTTCCGTCTTCTGTTGTTTAAAAAATCTTTGGAGGAAGCCAGAAAATCTCAGAACTTCCCGAATAAAGTTTTTGAAAATATAACTGAAAATCCAAACCACCCAAATATGTGGGGCAAACAACGTAATTTGTGCCATGCTAATGTATTAAAAGTCTACAGAACATTTCATCTCCCTTAAATTGTCTTACCTGGCTGTCTGGGATGTATCGCTATAGTTACCAGTTGCCATGTTATATAGCTAATATGCAAGGAGATTTAATAAAGAATATATTCCATTTTGAATTTTGAATTTTTATTATCAGTGCCTGAATGTTACTGGTGATCATAACCATAAGCTCAAGAATGAAATCATAAATTTGTTGCAGTGTTCATGACAGGAACCTTAATTTTAGTACTGAAAACGAAATCATGTCATTTGCAGGTGCCATCAATATAAACCCACTTGGTGATAATTAATGCTTGGACTGACCGTAGTATGACCATAGTATGAAAATGTTTCTCTCTTTGTTACAGGTACGTAGAAGAACATGTCCAGAGAACCGGGGTAGCCATAGAGACACAGGGTTTCACCTTCGTCACGAGTGGCCGCAAACGAGAATCGTTGACGGTAAGTCTCTGTATATACCTATGGCTTACTCTAAAGAAACCAGTTTACCTATGTACCTATATAAATACATAGGGTATTAAAAGGCAAGTCCAGGGTATAAGATAATACACTAACAACTTCCAGCTGGTTGTCTGCTTGCTACGTACACCAATGTGGAGCCACACCTTTAATAGTACTTCTGATCGTTTATGCACTCACCTGGAAAAGGATATAGTGAAGTTCCTTGAAAGTGATTTGGCCTGTTGGATGATGTATGTATAGACATTCAGGTAAATATTTTGTTAGTGTGCACTTTCCTAGGTGAAACAGACAATTTTGTAAAATGTCTTGCTATAAAGGTGATGTGGAGTATATGGGTGTTGTTTCTACAATCAATAAATAGGTATAATATCTTGCTTATATTAACATGTGTTTTGGTTTCCAAGTAGAACTGGTAACCTGGTGAAATGTACTACCTAGCCTGTCTTCCTGTTCACGATACATTGGTACGAATGAGATAAATACCTTTCACACACAAAAGTGTCCTTAGTTAAACTGGGATCTATGTTTTGCAGTCCATCAGAAAGTTTATTTTTATTTTTGGACCAATGGGATCAAGGTCTCATTGGGCGAAATATCTTTGTTTGAAGATTAACGTTTTTAAGGCACTGGTTCTGATACATTGTTACTGAGAGAGAGTGAATTTATACCTGAAATACCTTACTCAGAGAAAACGTTTCGTTGGGTTTCAGGTATGTGAATCTCTTGTAGCATACCTTGTTGATGAGAACTTAGGTGTAATGTATTAAGTCTTAAATGAATTAACCACCTGGGAGCTATACCTGTATCAAATCAGTAAGTACCCAGGTACACGGAGGCCATGCCGAGGTGTATAACATTAATAAAGGTCTAAAACACACCTGTGTTTGCTGGTAACCCTACCTACCCCTGTGTTTCTGTGACTATTATACAAACTCCTGTGGTAAACTTAAACAAGATTTGTTAGCCCAGGATATATGCTCCATAAAACACAGGTAAATATTTTGTAAAATATAAAGATTTGCCTATACAATCTTTTAACCTTAATACTTGCATATATTTTCACAGCCATTACTGGCAACTTGTATAATTTTGTTTGGCCTTAGTTATGACAGAAACCATAGTCATCCTGTGTTTGTCCCCTGTAGTTGAATAAACGTGGTCCACTGGTTTATAGCTGTTGTCTATATCACCTTCGTCAATATTGAATGGCTGTTTCAAACATAGGTATATACATACAGAAGTGTTGACCCAGTCTGGCTCCAGTTCAAATGTATGGTTAGCCTTTTACATCTTTATGTAAATATGTTGGCAATTATATCGCCATACATTACCCCAAAAAAATAATTAGGTATTTGGATACAAGTTATCAAAAGACANCCCCCCCCCACCACCCAGATAGTGTGATAAGCTATTGGTATCTGTTGTGTATTCTGCTGACGTAGCTAGAAGTCCTATATAAGTACTCCATACTTTGTAAGTGCTAGCTAGCAAGACTTATTAAACACTTTGCCACGTCATGCATATTTCTTATGGATAGGTATAGACAGTATATCAACTTCCTGTGCATATATATTTATACTTGGGAGTAGAAATCTAATGTATATTATGCCATAAAGTAGAGAAAGATGTCAAGATGTTGGTCATAATTTACTGATAATATTCATATGTAGATATTATAGGGTTTGATACTTATATAAAAAAAATGAAAAATATACATGATTTTTGAGAGAATGTTTGTATGTCTAAATGTGTAAATGTTATACGGCTAGAATATAAATGACTTGCAGAGTTTTTATGTGGGGAAAGTCATCTTGGAAAATCATTAGATATTTAGAGCATATGTTTAAGATTTTATACTGAATAAGTTGTATGTAAAAAAAAAGCATGCCGAGACTGAACTGGAATTGTTGTAATGTCACGACCCAAAGAAAACAATAGGGCTATTGCGACATCACAATTGACAACACCTATTGTTTGTTAATTTTCATACTGAACATTGCTCCGATTGGTTGGTTTGTGGTGATTGTTTTTTATTTATCTCAACACCTTTGAATTACAATGGTATACAGAGATATGTAACCACAAAGATTTCATGTACAGTGATGAGCTAAGTGTCGGAGTAGAATACTATCAAATGTATGTTTCCTGCAAGACGTACATTTTATAATATTTCACTGGTAAAAAGGGTAAAAAGTGATGCAATTGTTTGAAATTTTAGGAAATGAAGAAAAAATATCTGTTTATATTTAAGAAAAAAAATCAAATATACATGTAAAAATACATACCTATGACACATACATGTACCAGTTAATAAAAATAATATAATGTAACTCTGATAAAAAAGCATACATTAAAACAAAAATAAACTGTTCTCTTTACCTTATTTTGAGAAATAATTATGACTTGGCCCAATCCATGCATTAATACCTGGCAAATTTAATGATCTGCAGAGCAGGCAAAAATTAAAACCCGTCTGACATGTGTGTATTAGTGGTATGGGCGAATCTCGACGCGTTCAGACCTGTCATTAGCATCTAACATGCACGCTGAACTAAGACATGCCGGGATGGAAGAAATAAAGAAAATAAAAACTACAACACAAATGCCAAGACAACATAAAATATGGAAAGAATTTTGAAGGTATGCCAATAATTCACAACACATATGGCTGCTGCACATCATGCATGTATCACTTTAGGTTGGGAGATGAAAGGGGATTGATCAGCCGAGATAGATTTAATACCAAACCATCTCTTGTCTTTTTTCACCTGTGCATTCTTCTCCGATGAGAATGTTTCGTTTTTTTTCTGTCTTGATGAAATGATTAGTAAAGAACAGTGGTGTGTATTGTTCTTGTCTATTCAATGTCAAGTTAATGCAGGTTGGAGTACATTCAGTACTCGGACAGTACTAGCACAGGCACGTTTTAAGTTCTATATCACAAAGGAAAACCACCAGTTGGTGCACTGCATGTGTTATATAATATATATACATACAAAATTTGAAATGACGTATTGTATATATACATACAAAGTTTGAAATAATGTAAGCAATATCTGTGGATAAAAGGCATTTTTCCATATGGTGATTGATTGTGGTTCTAAAAGCAGAATAACTATTTTGAATATTTCTGATTTTATAAAGAAAGTGTTATTAATATTCTTGAAGTGATATTGGTCTTCTCTGCTATGCTACAGTGAAGTTTCAAGAATGCTGAAAAAGTCCTGAGTTTGTAATAAATCTAGGGTCTTCCCAAGGATATATGTCCATTCGATGAAGGAAAGTAATAAACAATAATGAATATCTACACAAATAATTCCATCCCCTCCTCAGTGAATATCACGGTGTCCCTACCTCAGGGGTCGCACCTTAATTCCCTACCACCAGCCAAGGGTTACCCGAGTCTGTCGAATACTCCAGACATGGTTGTTAAATGTTTCTAAATCAACATACAGCAGTAGTTCACACTGACTTCGTGACAATTTTTCTTGAATGTAGAACACAAGGTCAAAATCTGGAGTCATTTACTTTGGTATTGAGAAATACATATATATGTTAACGTATATTGTAACATCGAGCCTCGGGATCAAGCTGCATTTGGAAGGGAATGTAAGTTTCAGATATTGATGATATTTTTCTTGAAAATTTGTCAAAATTTTGTGAAAGTAGCCATATATAAATTATGTTCTTGTACATGTTTGTAAGTTTGTATTTTGATACAGAACTCAACATTTTAAAAAAAACTTGCAAATATCACTCTTGGGACAGGACTTGGGTTTAGAGATGAGAAAATTGTATTAGATGTTTGTCCAAAAATTATAAGAATATAAATAAATGTAATTAAACATACAGTTGCATAATAAATTAACATATTGCAAAATAGAAATTTATTTGACTTGATAATTAAGTCTTAAATTAATGTAGGTTTTTAAAGATACCGTATGAAGTAATTAATCCAGGACCATGTGGTTGTTGTCAATTTCAACAATTTTTGTTTTTTTCGTCTGGAGTGTTTGTGACTGATGAATAATTCGGTGATCATTACGATTCATGTAAATTAATATGCAGGCATATATTTAATGACAAAAGTATATGTTGTTAGATCTCGGAATGTATGTAGCTGTAATATATTACAGAAATTATATGCAAAGATGCACAGATGATTATCATGTCACCTGATCTATGTTAGGAAAATATTCAGGTGTAATTTAAAATTTGTGATTTCATTAAAGAGATAAACACATCAACAAATTTTAATATAAAAGTGTCGCAACAAGGTAAATCTCATTGGTAGCTATTTTGATGAAGAAAAAACAAATCTGAGAAAAGGATTTTCATGCCATTCCTGTACAGGGAAGTTTCCGTCTGTTGAATTGTATAAAGTCTGCTGAGCTAGCTATAGGTTGTTTAACAATGTCTGACCCCTGATAAGTAGTTTTATCAATTTGCTCATTCTTAGTTAAAACTGTTAACAGCCTCCACTGGTGTGATGCCATGGTCTGCTGCACATTTACCACTGCAGGTCACACCTGTGTCTGGAAAAAGATAGTCGTACATCAATCCTAGCCACCCCCACCGATCTTAATCCTAGACCTGGCCTGCCCTACCAATCTTAATCCTACCCCTCCCCAACCAATATTAATCCTAGCCCTCCCCCACCGATCTTAATCCTAGCCCTCCCCGACCAATCTTAATCCTTCCCTTCCCCGACCGATCTTAATCATAGCCACCCCTACCAATCTTAATGCTAGCCCTCCTCACCACACCTGATCCTATAGCTAGGTAATCTTTGCCAATTTTAAGCCTAGGTTTCTGTCACCTTAGCTATTTCTTGCCAATCTTGATCCTGAAGCTCCACACCAACCCTTATCCCTAAGCTATCCACCACCCATTATCAAACGATAAGCCAGTGTTACTCCACCTGGTGTAACTGATAGAGTCTTAACACCTATAACTATAACCCTGGTCTAGTTTAGGGA